ATGAAGTAAAGTAGTTTCGTTCCTACGTTTCTTGGAGAAATAATTTTTCTGTCTAGGCAGGCAGCTTCGCTAGTGATGAAGCTCTGCCTTATTGAGCTTGGAAGGATTTGTTGCTGTGTGGAAGATTTTTCTGAATGGTTGGGGAGTGAACAAAATCTGTCTTTCTCTTAGAAGTGCCCAGCAATTCTTTAAATCTCTTAAATTTGAGATATAATCAAAGCTCCTAGCTATGTAATTCTAAAGATCAGAGAGCAAGGTTAAAAGCAATCTGTCTGTAGAAAGTATTTTTTTCTCTTTTTTTTTTGCTTCTGCTTCTGTTCGCTGAAAATCTTTCAAGTAAGTCTGAAATAATCCTATGCCTACTCCACCCTTGAGGTAAAAATAAATATAAACAAAGGCTTAATAGCAATTTCAGAAATGAACAGGAAAAAAGAATCTATTTAAAGCTGTTGGAGTAGAATATCTATATATGGAAACTATAAGTGAATCGTGTTAATAAGAGTTTTCTTTTAGTAAAAGGAACAGGCTATCTAATACAATCTTCCTTTAGAATGGATGATACAATTACAGTAAAGACACTAATTTAGGACTTTTCAAGACCTTGACAAGGTTTCATATTACAGGTGTAAATGAAGGAGAAAAGCAGGCAGAGCCTGGGGATGAAGAGAGGAATCAGCTTAGAGCTGTTACATTCTCACAAATGGTCTAAATCCACCCTCGAATTTCATTGACTCTTATCTAGCGCACAATAGACTAGATTTTTGTGCATAGGCACGAACAATAAACCATCACATACTTACTGTATGATCCTGTTTCTTCGCACCTGACAGTAGTGAATGTACAGGTAGCATAGCTGACCTTCAGCTGAACAACAACTCCCTTTAGCTTTAGCAATGTTGACAAAGAGTGAAGGGTGCTGTCAACTGGAGTTCAGAAGCTCTTCCTTTACATTGTAATTCCCCCCCTCCCGATAGCAGGAGATTGAGAGACTGGACAGTCATTTGTCCGAAATGGTGTAGGGTTTTCTGCCTGAGCAGAGGGTTGGACTCGATGACCTCCAAGGTCCCTTCCAACTTTATTATTATTATTATTATAAACAAATTAATTGATGGATCTCATAAGAGTGACCAAAACCAGTGAAATATACTAGGGAAATACTGCTGCTGCTGTTTTAAGAAAAAAGAGAAAAGAAAAGAAAAGAAAAGAAAAGAGGAAGGAAGGAAGGAAGGAAGGAAGGAAGGAAGGAAGGAAGGAAGGAAGGAAGGAAGCAAGGAAGGAAGGGCAATTAGAGAAAGCTCATAAAAGTTCAAGAGATAGAATTATACACCAAATACACATGAAAGTTCAAAAAGTTAGAACTGGCTCTATTGCCTTTACATTCCATTTTTAAACTTTCTACATATGTTTTTATCCTGCCATTTAAAAATGTCTTTTCTAGGATAGTTCCATTCATATAGAATAGATGCACACTTGGTATTAGCCATCTCCAACTGCACAAGTGTCCACTGAAAATTCATTATATGTTTAGTCCTATACAATCCATCCATTCCTGCTGTATGATCTATTTCTTAGTTGGCACATGCATTAACTGTGACCCAGTTCAGTTAGTGAAGGAACTCTTAGGTGTCCCTTCTTTGAAGACCTAGCTTTGGCCTGTCTCTTTGAAAGGGGAGGCATCTGAGTGTTTTAGAGTGTTTTAGAGTACTAAGGACAAATACATCTAAAATCAAAGGTGATTTAGAATGCAGCCCTAATTAGTAGTCCTATATCCACATTGCTTAGCAACGGATATAGCTGAGGAAATTTGTAGTGGCCAGTTTGTGAAAAGAAAGGAAAGTTCTAGTGTGTTTTCTTTGTGGGATATATATAGTCTGTTGTGTGTAATGAATGTGGAGCTACCTATAAACCAAATTTCAAATGCTCTATCAATTAAATCTGTGTGGTTTGCTTTCATTATTTTAAATCTGCTTTCTTTCTAAACAAAGTGAAGTTTGCCATGTTCTTAACTTTTCTTATGTAGATACACTCAACCAGTATTCTATCCTGCTGTTGTTTAATATCCCTCCAAAGTCCTGAATTGCTTAAGGTTATTGTGGGCTATTTAAATGGTTGCTATGTGACACAGTTCATTTCAAAAATCCTGAGGGGGGAAAAAAAATCACCTACTGATCTATTTTGCCTTTAATATGGGCAGACTAATTTGGGAATAAATTAGTCACTAGTTTTTGGTATATGTCTGTCCAATAGGATTTCTACCAAATGAAAAATTTGTACATGGATTTTACATTCTTAGGATTTTAATTTTAATTTTGGACCTTCATATAATTTTAATGCTGTTTTTTTAAAATGCAATTATAACTCCAGATGCACTTGAGATGTGAAGCTTTCAATAGTGGCAGATAAAGGGGCATTGTAAAAAAACAAAGCAAAACAAACCAGTGCTTCTTGAACTTTGTTAAGAGAATGAGGAGTTCTCATTCTCTTAACAAAGTTTTATGGAAATGATTTGCAGTTGATACTGGCAGCAATTTGTTTTTGTTTTCCTGGCAAGATTTTGGAAATGATTTGCTATTGTATGCTTCCTGAGAGACTGATTGGCCCAAAGACAACCTTGTGTCTAAGCAGGACTAGAACTCACACTCTCCTGGTTTTTAATCACTACACTAACCTAGCTTCCATCCCTTTCTTTGCTGTGATAATTCTTCTAGTCTCATTGCAACTCATATTCTATTCTATTCAACCGTTTGAACTTTTAGTTTCTCGCATGACTTTTCTTTTGTTACAACTGCATTCTGTGTTTGATTCTGGATCCTTAAACCATAAGTTTGATTTTTAGTATTTGGAACAAGAATATCAATTACATAAAACTGTTCTGTTTCTCTTGGGATTTGGGCCTCAGCTCAGCCTGGATTTCTTGGAGAAATGGTTCTCCACTATTTTGACATGAAAGTAATTTCTAGATATTTGAAGGGCTGTCGTGCAAAAATGAAGGAGCGGAAAGTTGGACCAGAACCACTGTCCTTAAACTAAAAGCACATTAAGCTAAACATTAGCAAGAAGTTCTTAAAGACGCAAACAATTCAACCAGAGAACAAGTTGGTTCGGAAGGTGGAGGACACTTACGGCAGCAAAGAAAATGCAAAATAAAAAAAAAATTAAAAAAATGGAAGGATGCTTCAATCCCCAGAATGGATGAATGATAGCAAAAGCTGATGGAGTTAGCAGAGATGGCTCAATTGACTGCTTTGATAAAAGAAAAAACAACACCACACAATTATTTTTGTTTCTACTTGGAAGTCAACGCCTTTTCTTTCTTTTTCCCTTCTTTTCTACATTTTTCCCTCCCCCTATCTTTCCTATTGTTTGCTTTTGTATTTTATATTATAAAGTAATAAAAAGGATGAAATGTTAGAAGGTGGAGGGCTCTTCTTTGTTAAGGATTTTAAGCAAAGGCTGTGAAGCTTTGTGCAGAGTTGAGATTTCCCTCTCATCTTTATCAGAGGATGAATCAGTTAAATCAGCTGCACTTACAGATAAAGTACAGGATGAAGCATGTTGTACCTGCATTTAGGGTGATCAAATGCAAAAGAAGACACAGAGGCCCGACCATGAATTATTTCCTAACCTGGTTGTCAAGTCTGAGACCATAGAAGTCACCAGAGATGCCAAGTTAAGATAATTTCTTTTGGCAGAGTTGAAATGCTGAGCAGGAGTGTAAAACTGCTAACATCCCCTCCTCTGCACATTTTAGGAAAGGGAGAGAATTTCACTTCTTCATGTGGTGATATGGAGGAATCAATATTTTATAGGAAACATTTCAATATTGTGTTTCTTCACTTCGGCAACGTAGCTGGAAAGGGATCACAGGAATGCCACTGCAGAATCATTTGCAGATTTTCTCCAATGAATACCACTTGATTTTTGCCTACACGATGACAGTTCCTTCTCTTGTGATTGGCTCAACGGATTTCATTTGGCTCTTCTGATTGGATGTGCTCAGCAGCTATCCAATGCCGTACAAAGGGCAGGTTGACTGACAAGTTGAATACACAATTTAACATTTCTGCAATGTTGGATACTTAGTCATCCAATTAGGAGGGCAAACAATAGCACATAACTCATAAAAAAGAACAAACGCAGCACAAATTTTGAACTTCTATATGCATCTCTCTCTCTCTCTCTCTCTCTCTCTCTCTCTCTCTCTGTATCTCTCTGTATCTCTCTCTCTCTCTGTATATTTATGTATGTATATGTGTTGTGTTTGTGTATATATTATATGTATACACACACACACACACACACACACACACAATGTATCTATTCCGTCAACAGTTCATTTTGTTCTTTGAATGGAATGGCTCATATAATTAACAATGATTATGAACTGCAGATTTCAATGCAAAACACATCTGAGTTAAATAAATTACAAAAAGTTCACCTACTACATAAAAGTACATATGGCTGCAAGTAAGGATTTGGGGGGTTATGCTGAACTCAACTCAAAGGAGGTACAACTAGCATTGCAAAATTTCCTATCAAAGGATTGGTTCTGTTTTTTTTTTTTGAGAGCAGATTGGTGCTGTAGCAACAAAGCGTCCTGTTTCCTTGTGTGAGCAAACAATATGGGAATTGGATTGTACAAGTTCTTATGAATTTGGAGTGCAGAAGTAAATTTTACACAGCGGAACATCTTTTTGAAAAATCATCTTATTAATCATTGGGTGTGCTAGGGCTGCAGTGGAAAAGAATCATGGAAAAACTTTTCCTTGCATTCACTTTTATCCCAATAGAGGTAGCCCCCAACTTACAACAGTTTGTTTGGAGATCGTTCAAAATTATAACTGAAAAAAAAAATGATTTGTGACCATTTTTTACACTTAGGACTGTTGCACAACCAGTCTAAGCAAATGGGCATTATAAATCGCCACCTACTAACTGAGTAACTGTTACCATACGTCTTCCCTCCTTTAGTCCACTTAGTAATTATTCTGTTTTCACAGATGGGAAAATTGAGACAGAGTGATTAAGCAGCCTGCTTTCAACTCTTGTCTGAATTGGGATTCCTTAGGTGAAGTCTCGTCTCCCGGTCATGTGTACAGACTACTAAATCCACAGATTCTATATGTCCCAGGTAAAAAAATGATAGTTTGTTTTGTGCTAGAAATGTGTAAAGCATTCTTAGTTGAATAGGCTCTGGATACAATATCTGCCTTGATTTTCTGATTAGAAGATAAAATATATATTTCCAGATATATAATGCTTTGTTTTTTTAAAAGAGACATCTCTAGAAAAGTTTTTCAGAACTGCTTAATCCATGGAAATACAGAATTAATTTTCTGGGGCTGTTCTATTCAGTATAGGGGCAAAGGCTGAGGGGACGAGAAAATTAGGAGGAGTATCTTTAATTTTATTTCTTAAGAAAAAAATGTAATCAAAGAGAGAAATTGTACAAGATTCTTTTTTTCATATAATCTTTCCTTTTTGATTTAAAATGCATCCCTTTTTGTGACGGTTAGTCTACTAGTAAATGAGTTTGACTGCAAATACTTAAATGTAAATGTTGGCCTGGACAGCAAAACAAATGAATCCTGATTTCCAGATGGTTTTCAGATGGCATCAATCATGTTTATGTATGTATATTAGGCATGAACTATATGTATACAGCATGTATTAGATGGATGAATAGATAGATAGAAAGTTTGGAAACTTTAAGATGTCCATAACAAAAGTATAACATTCTTTCTCATCTCTACCAGGCCAATTTAATGCTATAAAATAAGTCCATTAAACATGAGAACCCCTCCCCCCCAAAAAAAGAGAGAGTTGGCAATTCAAATTTATCATTTATAAACATTTATTACCAGCTTTTCATTATTACTGCCTTTCAGTGCATAGAGATTGAAGCTCAGATCTTTAAGGACCCAAACAAAAGATACGTTATTTCAATTTCTCCCTTAGTCAATTTTATTTAGAAAAGTCTGTTTTTGAGAGAAAATTGGATATTTCTTTTATTGAAATAACAAACCGTCCATAAGGTATACATCCTTGGGTGCTTGAAAAAAAGTGATCTGAAAGTTCTCTGGCCTTGCTTATATGAACATTACAATTTTCTGGTAGTTTCAGAAAGAGAGAGAAGGGAAAAAACCTGTACTTTTTTTTGACTTAGTTAAAAACAAAATGAAGGATGTCCCCCACAAAATGATCCAACTGCAGCATAAATAAAGGAAAGGGGTAGGTGTGTGAGAAAAAGTCCGTGTTAAAACGACTTTGTGTATTTCCATCCATATGCATAAAGATTCTGTGCATGAGAATAATTTTAGCCACCCCCCACATAAATGCAAAGAAATGTATCTCACGTATGAATATTATGGAAGGAAGAGTTGTAAGTTACGCTCACAACTGGAACTGCCAGCCTGGCAAAGAGATCCTGCAAATAACTCCATCAGTAAAATAATAAGGAGGCAGAGACGGAAAACATACAAAGGACGGTTGCAGGAATTGGGTACATGTAATCTAGTGAAAAGAAGGACTAGGGCTGACATGATTGCAGTGCTCCAATATTTGAGGGGCTGCCACAATCTATTCTCCAAAGCATCAGAAGTTACTGTAAGACAAGAAACAATGGATGGAAACTAATCAAGGAGAGAAGCAGCCTAGAATTAATGGTGAGAACAATCAACCAGTGGAATGGCTTGCCTTCAGAGGTTGTGGGTGCTACTGTATCCGAAGAGGGATGAGAGTGGAGGAGAAAGGTTAGGGAGGAAGTAGGATGGTGAGAGGAGAGGGAGAGGGGAGAGAGAGGGGAGGGGAGGTGAGAAAGAGGAGGGAAGTAAGGGAGAGTGTTAGAGAGGGCGGATGCAGTTTGGGGGGGGGGTGGGCAAGCAACACCTATGTGTATTTATTTTATTTTGTCAAATGTGAAATTTTTTTTGTTTATGTAATTGATAAATGAAAAATAAAAACTTTTTTTATATATAAAAAAAGAAGTTGTGGGTGCTCCATCACTGGAGGCTTTAAAGAAGAAACTTGAAAGGAGTTAAAAGAGATCCTATCCCTCCCTAATAATATATTTATATAATAAAGCAATGCCACCAGCTCTTCCTTTCTATGGGTTTAGGGAATAGGTAGAACCGTTCCTCTGGAATTCCTAATCAATACTCCTTTAAAACTTATCCAAAGACTTCCAAAAAGAGCTTTGAAATTGCTTTCCTGTTTTCCTCCCATCTGCAATTTACTATCTATATTTAACTATGTGTGTACAGATTGTAAAGAAGGCATAAATTCACTTCGGTTGGGTGATAGCAATACACTTGGATGCTGCAAAGGAATCAACCATAATTACTTAAATGACACTTCTTGCAAAACATTAATCTTTGTGCAAATGGTTCCCTTTTAAACAGATTGTGCATATATATATATATATATATATATTAGAAATAAAAACAAAAATGCGACTCTTGGGAATATTCATATTGTCCAAATAATAACGATCACCAAGAGAATATCTATAAAAATAGAAATTTAATCCACCAAGCTTTCGTCAAATACATTTGACATCGTCAGGGTTAAAAGGCAAACGCCGGGGGAAGTCTTATATACAGTTGTTTAATGCCTGTTTCCGGCTCTTGAAACAGGCATTAAACAACTGTATATAAGACTTCCCCCGGCGTTTGCCTTTTAACCCTGACGATGTCAAATGTATTTGACGAAAGCTTGGTGGATTAAATTCTATTTTTGATAGATATTCTCTTGGTGATCATTATTTTGACAATATATATATATATATATATATATATATATATATATATATATATATATATATATATATATATATATATATAGTTTTTCTATGCTGCAGTATTAATTCTATTTGAGCCATATCAGACTGATGTGTGAGAAATAAAAGAGAGAAAACTGTAACCGTTAAAGTCTTGCTCTTTGTTTCTTTGTGACCTCGACAATCTCTTTAGTAAGCTATGGTTCACTAAACTGGCACACAGCAGCATTTCTGCAGTGGAAAAATCATAAACCAGATGGAAGCTTTACATTTTTTGTTTAGTTTTTTAAGAGCAGATTTTTTTATAACATCGCTTAAAATCATTCTGATGCATCGTTCTGTTTACACTTAAGACTTTGTAGCTAAGATGTTTACACTACAGAGAATGTTTTAAGATATTTTATAGTTATGATATTTAGATAATTGGCAAGAAAAAAGATAGTTTGTTGAGATTACAGTGATGTTGGTAACCGTGAAGTAACTTATGAGACTCAATAAATATGTCCAGTTCAGTGGAAAGTACAAACTTGGTTAAAACAAAACAACACAAGAGGGAATGTCTTCTTAGTGAAATCATTTCCCTTTCTTAATCAAAAGATGACAACCACCGCTTTAGAATTCCCATCTGTAGCACACTATCCCACATATCTGTTTATCTACTGTGAGATTTTTATTTTTTTTTAAATATAATTGTTACAGTTAAATATGTTGGTGAAGTGTTGTTGTTTTTTTAAAGTCTTCTGTTGAGTTATGTGCCAAAATGGACAAAGTTAATTCTTTGTGGGATACCTAAAACTATGAAAAGCTGGCCTGCATAACTTCTGTTTAAGCACTTCATTTTCATATGAATGCCGCTTCGATGTTTTAATGAAGAATGTGTTTCTTCTGAGCATCTGGTTTCGGGGCTTTTCTTAATGCATTAATCAAAAACAATAACTTCTTTTAACTTTTGTAAAGTGCTCTGAGGAGAAGTATGAAATAATCTGTGTGTGGGCTTCCAATGTTGGGAATGCAAACATTTCACAATAAACACGAGTAAATGAAAGTACTTGGCCAGATACGCCGAAAGATAGTACATGTTGGGTTAATTAATGCATACCCCATTAAAATAAACCTTGCTTTCAAGATCTGACCAATAAAAATCATTAGTATATTTGTATCAGATGTGCTTGAAGGATGATTTTTTTAAAAAAAAATGTATATGTTAAACTCTTACAGGGAGGATTGTCCTTGAAAAACCTAAAATCAAATTCAAGTCAAAGCATTCCATTACCTTTGTGTCCTCTTTGTGTTTTCAATATAGTGATATGATGAATTATTTCAGTTTTATCTGCTCTTCCTGGAATTGATTTAGTATTGATAGCCTTAAATTTATCATTTTAAATGTGCAAATCGCAGTTATGCAGGCAGCAAGTTATGTAGTTTCAGGCATTGTTCGCCTTCAGAATGTATTATCTGATTATATCTATAATCAAATTACTCTTCTGTTGTATTTTTTAATCAAAAAAGGGTTTATCTTTCCTGATCTTGAGTATAACCATTTTAGTGGTAATCTTATGTTTTAAAAAAGTGTTCTGGGGCTGGCTGTGAAATTGTCCGTGTAACTAAAGCTTTACTTTACTTACATGTTTTTTTCTCTTTTTTGTTGTCTAATTAATTTGCTTTTAACTGATCTACATAAAAATAGAGAATTTGCATTAACCTACTAAAGCCACACCAGCTGAATGGTGTCAGAAGTGTTCATAACATGTTCAAATGAAGATACTCAAGTTAAACACCCTCGTAACACAGCCACCCGTCTGGTTACTTTCAGAAATAGTTGACTCACAGCAATAAAAACGACAAACTTCTGGGTTATAAATGCCACACACACCTAAATTTACCCTTACAATGATGAATAAGGGAAATCCTCTAGTAAGAAGGAGCAAAGCGTGGTTTGATGAAACGGCTTAGATGGGGTTAACACTATGACTTATATGCCCTTTGATGCATCCATCTTTCCTCAACCTTCCTTTCAGATGTCTCAAAGATGCTTTTTCAAAAGGCAAGTGGACTGTTTTTTCCTTGAAAAGAAAAAAGACCTTTTGCTTCTCATCTAAGAAGCTTCATCAGTTCTGACAGGATGGTGGGGGCGATGGAAGGATTAGTTCTAATAGGATGGGCGGATCATATTTCTTTGTAGTCACCTGGTTAATTAGCACCCTCCCTCAGAGCTCTTGGGGCTATTTGGAGTTTATCTGTGCCCTCAAGGTCACCTGAATCAGAGTGCAATTGGTTCTGGAATCCGTTTTGGAACTGATGAAAGGGCTGGATATAGGTGGTGTCTTATCTCTCCCACTTGGTTGAGAGAGGGG